CATCTCAACGAATCGTGCTACACGGTGAATTTTCATTATTCACAGTTAAAGGCAACTTTTGGTACCAAATTTATCAAAATCAGAGACAAAAAATTCTGTGCCAACTCATGGCGCTTATTACATAGACTATATGAATATATATGTAATATGTATGCTTACCAGAATCACTATATAAACAAATATATCATTCTCTCTTTGAATCACACCTAGGTTACACCTAGGTAGCCGAACTAGGTTATGCTATTTCTGTCTGGGGAGGTATTCCCAATAATCAGTTAAAACCACTATTTATTACTCAAAAGAAGTGTATCAGGATTCTATTTGGAGACTATGAAGCTTATGAAGCTTATGTAGACAAATTCAAGACATGTGCTAGAGCAAGACCAATTAATTCTCAACGTCTAGGATCTGAATTCTATGTTAAAGAGTCCACTAAGCCTCTATTCACAAAACATGAATTACTTGTTACAGAGAACCTGTACCGATACCGTTGTTTAATGGAACTTTTTAAGATCATTAAGTCACGAGTACCAATTTCGTTATACTACTTATTCAACATATCAAATAGGAAAGATAATCTGTTCATTACACCCTCTCCAACTAATCAATTTATTTATAAATCTGCATGGCTGTGGAACGAATTCCGTAAAGTTGGCCCGTTAAATTTCACCTCCACATGCGGATCTGTCAAGAATTTACTTAAACAGTCACTTCTAAGAGCTCAAAACCGGTATGGAACTGAGTGGTGCGACAGAAATTTCACTGAATTCTGATTATGAAGTGATATTCATTTGCCTGTTATTCCCACTTAAGCACTTACTGACTGACAAGCTTATCTATGAATACCATGCTTGAATTTAGGTAAACAACATACAACTCATTCCCAGTAACTCTGAGCGCAACCGCCGAATGACACAGTAATATGAGACCGCGCATAGCATTGCGCGCCCATGCTGTGCGCGTCGCGTTGTCGGCCGAAACTTGGGAAGTTCCCGCTCTAATATTCAGACGACAGTGATGACTCATTAAGAGCACTAATTTCGACCACTTTCCCGGTCGAGCCATACCAAATCAAACTAATTGACCCACGTGTATAGCCAATGTCCTGGTGGTGCTGAGCCGATGTAAAACTCTTCTGTAAACTCTTTTGTCTCTTGTAACTTGTTTATATTTTATATTTTAGTTATACTGTGTACTGTGTACAATAGTTATAGCGTATAGTGTGTGTAGTGTGTAGTGGTTATTTTGTTGTGACGTGTCACTTTATACTTTGCTACCAACGTCAGCCTTGACTTACCATTTATTGTAATTGGTACAGCATATATCAAAACTAAAACACTGTTTTCGATCTGACGGGTGATGGGCTCTCTCTGATGGGACACAGTTCTAGGGGGTACCCGGGGTACGAGTTAACGAATAGTGTTCGTGTCCTTCCACAATCCCCTCTCATTGTGTTTTTGACGGAGGAGAAGCCTAGTTCATCCGTCTGCATCGCTTAATCGAGTTGAAAATTTAGCCAATAACAAACTAAATTACATGTTAGACTGATAGCAGGTGTGGAGTTTATAACATACAAATTCTAAATTTTTGACGGCTGACGATGGTAAGTCGCTACGTTTAATTCGGGACTTTTATAGTCTTAAGTCTTGAAGCTCAAAATGTCTCGTGCTGTGGGCCGTATAAACGGCGCACACCACCGCCCCGCCTTACTTCACAGTTGCGGGGCGGAGCTGGTGCCGTTTGTCTCGGCCTCAAGTGGCGAGTGCTTGCCCATCGAATACACGATTATTTATTGGAATTCTACAGTTTCCAAAACGAAGTACGAAGATATATTAACTTTGAGCTTTGTTTTGGCGACTGCTTCATCGATGGGCGAGTAGGTATTTGTTGTTTAGCAGTGTTGAATATTGGAGCAATTATATAATGTATATCTCCATCATAATATAGGCTAGTGTAAAGATATATAATCAAGAATACAAACAAACGCGAACGGTATTAGTAACTCGCTAGATTATAGATGTTATTTAAACACATATGTTTACGTCAATTATTACTAAAATTAATATTCTTTTTGCTTTAATATAATTACATTGTACATGTCACATGGATTAATGGATTAGTTGAATGAAACGTGTGCTACAAATGTCTACGCCTCACGCAGAACTGCGTACCGCTCAGTACTAATTCATGCTTGAGCGGTACTGCTGTTCACAGTGGCGCGCACTCAATTTAATCACAATAAATAACGAGCGCGCGGTTTTTTGGAATCTCTCCATTATTATATTAATTAGATCGCAGTGCTCACGGCCTGTACTGCGTGAACGACAGAAATATCTTTTAAATTATTTTGCTTCTGAAATTTTGGCTCTAGTAATTAAGAAATGTGACATGTAATTGTAAGTTAACAATTAAATAGATCCTGTGCGCGGCGCCTACAGCTGACCTACGAATTTCTGAACAATTTTAAATTGTGGCTGTGTGCGCGGCGTACTGTATATGTGTTTGAAATTGAAATTTGAATTTATTTATGAATATAACATTATGTATTGATTATTTGTGGTAAATAAAAATTTTTCTTTCCTAAAAATTTTTCTTTCCTGTAAATATATGTATATTGTAAATAAATAATATGTAAATTGTAATTCAATATAGCATATATGATATACTGACTTGCAAAATGCAGCGATTTCATTGGACGAGAGCAACTCTGGGCGTTTAGTTACTGGGCCGCGCTCAGCCTGTCATTCCCCCAAATCTTTATTATGTTAATGAACATAATAGCCTGGGGTCCTCAGGTAACTCTGGGCGACGTTTGACTACAAATGGCAGCATTTGATCGAAAACCTGGTTTCAGCCCCCCTGTGACCAATGTTTTTAATTCTAATATCTAATAAAACCTATAATTACATAATAGTATAAGCATGAAAATTATTTCTTAACCATTAACGAGTTATATTATGAGCAAATAACCATTTTTGTCAAACGCGCGCACGTACCGTGACATGAGGCTTGTAAAACAACATTTGAGCTGTTTATGTTTTAGGATTCAAGTAAGTTTGGTTTTGATTCACGATGTCAATCCTTCGCATCTCGCCGATCTGCATACGGTTGCATGTGGTTGCGAGAAGCATTATTTGATGCGCGCGCGACCCAGTAGTGCATCGCGCTACATAACTAGTTTGGTTTTAAAGTAATTGTGAAATTAATTGACGATGTCAATTCATGGCAGCTCGGCGCGGCACAGTAGCGCATCTCGCCGATCTAGCCAGTGTCGCTGTGAGAAGCCTTATTAAGTGCGCGGCGCGGCACAGTAACGCATCGCGCTACAATTGTGAAAATAATATAAATGATAAAGATTTGAAATACAAATTTGTGCACCTTAACTATTAACGTTATAATTATATTTACCATTAAAATCAAAATCAGCATTTATAAATGTAGCATGTACATGGCACAGAACGGTCAAAATATAATTGCGCCTTGTAGCGCAATGCGTTACTGTGCCGCGCCGCGCACTTAATAAGGCTTTTCACAGCGACATGGCTTCTCTAGCTAGATCGGCGAGATGCGCTACTGTGCCGCGCCGAGCTGCCATGAATTGACATCGTCAATTAAAATTGCGCCCTATTATTTAATATAAATTACAAAATTATAAACACCAAACATATTACAATTCAAGGACTAAGCTTTTATATAAAATAAACAAAATAGCAGTTTAAAACTTTTTTGCAAATCCATTTTTAAAAGTTAGTACTTGTATTGAATCACGATGTCAATCCTTCCCAGCTCGGCGAGGCCCAGTGGTGCATTACGCCGATCTATGTGGTTGCGAGAAGATGCGCGGCGCGGCCCAGTAGTGCATCGCGCTACAAGTACTTGTAAAATATTTGTTCCAAATATATTAAACCCTCGACGTCAGACGAGGTGGTTAGGATTTGGATTAGGGTTAATGTGAATTTTGAAACCGTTTTGTTCGATTGCAAAACCATTAAAACCAAATTCACGTGATAATGTTAAGGCAAGCGAATGAGTGAGAATATAGTAACAAATAGTCACAATATTACCAACGCATGTAGTCACTCACTAGTCACATCACACAATTATACTAATAAACTGGTATAAACGAAACCGGCATATCCAAAGATTTTAAATCAATCTATTGTAGTAGAGGCTGTTACGGGCAAATATCACGCTTTTTTGCTCGAGCCCTGGGACTTCTTTTAGGGTTCTTATATGATAGAATGGAGTGTACTGAACACTCTGACGGTATCGGGAACCTTCTAGAGCCTTCAGAAGCTGTGTTGTGAGCACTTTACTGCCAAAACTTCGGACATCTACAGACACCGGAATATCGACTAAAATTTTTTCTGAGTTGTTCCCCTAATTTCTCTTAGGTTGCTTAAGCCCCAGAAAGTGTCAGATCGTCTAAATATTGCTCCATTCCGGTGTTAGAGACCTCAAAAATTTCGACCACGTAGAACGTGTTGCGCGTCGTTTGTAGTGTTTACAATGAAAAAAGTGCACTTAAATCTGATTCGGTTGCGGCGCGTGACGTATCTAGCACGATATTTGCTCAAAAGCGCGTCACTGCGCCAGAAACCTCGTGGTACCGTAACACTGTAGAAAATAGATAATCACAAGAGACACAATAAACGTATCATCACTATGCAAAGTTAATGTTAAAATGATACAATAGCCCTGCTTTAACAGATTAATCCACATAAACACTATATTTCTACAGATGCCACCGATCGGTAAATCGAACATGTTTTTGAAGATAAATCGTCTTACGGAACGATAGCTGATAGAATTCGTTTCTACATTGAAAGATTTCTTTTCTAATCTCCGTTATGAGTGCTGTCTTTGTTAAAGTGTTATCATCTCTATCCGAATCTATTGTTGCGGCAAGATTAGATACAAACTCGTCTTACCGACATTGTCTTTCTGAAAACTGATGTGATCAGATTAAACATAGCTGGAGTTTGTAGCGTTCTCAGATAAATTAGACGTCACATAGTCATTGTACTTAAGCTTCAGGTCAGACACGAGGTACAGTTCTGGTAAAACATTCTCCTGCTCCAGTTAAAAGGTCCGTACAGCGTCAATACCTGCACTCATTAATGCAGCATTGGTGTTGTCGTGCGTGGACACGTGTCTTTCCATTTTAAAACAGGTTTTTAGAGACAGGTTTTAAACTTACAGCTTCAGATAATTTACCCTTCAATTGTTTCACCCTCGAGTTGCTGTACCTCAAACGACACGTTTTGTGATATCTACCTAGCTTGCTATAGAGATATTTTCCGAGACTCTCAGGGTTAAGAACAGGGCACTTGTTCATGTGCGAATCAGGATTAACATCGATGTTGCACAGATCCTGACGATTTCTGTAGATGTCCACAGATAGTATGTTGCGAAATCGACGAAGAAACTTTTATCTTTTCCTTGAATCAGACTATCCTTTTTCGTTTCTAACGTCTAGGGAAATTCGTATTGTTAAAGAAGAATATCCTCTCATACTCTTAAAATTAAATCGAGATAATATGTATAATAATTATATATGCGAGCAAAAGTTTCACACAAACCTGTTCAACCTGGCATATGAAACACAAGTCTCAGTCCATTTCAAACAAATCAACATCTGGTCCACTTGATTGGGAACTAAATGAAGAAAGTCTCCACATTTTCTTAGTTCTATTCGAGGAGGCCGAGGGTGACAAAGGCGGGACTTTTTCCACTTGGATGGCAATAGCTTCTTCAATCTTCATCACAAGAAGATTCGTCAATTTCAGAAACAGCACTGTACACCTGCAAATACTTTATTACTTCCCACATTTATATCAACAGTATCATATCACATAAGTTTGAGATCGTACAAGTGTTATATCATTTTAAAAGTTTGCAAATCCGATAGAAATGGATTAAAAATTACTACTCGCTGTCTATTTAACTTTGAATAATAATGTTTTTAAATGTTAGTAAAACAGGAGGAAACCACTCACCCTGTTATAGTTGTCTTTTACATAGTTAAGACACTGAATACACAAAAAAGAGGTTTGCTTTGGTGAGCACAACCCAGGATTGATCTTCTGCAGCAGGGCGAGGAATTCTCTAGACTGTTTTGTCATTCGTTGAGTTGAGACACAGTTAATAAACTGCGAAGTGACTAAAATGCTATACAGCAAAAACAGAACGCTCCAACCAAACACTCCACCTACTGATCCTAACCACCCTAACAACTCTCTAGCTCTATCTCTTCAACCCTCATTCCCTCACTCCTCTTGGTGCACAAAACCATTCTAACCTATGTATGTCCCCCTGACGGGTTCCACAAGCCCAACGGTACATAGTTAGACGAAAAACAGAGAAGCCTTGATTGCCAGATCAAGGACTGCATCAGTAGCAGCGAAATACGGATATACCTTCTCCCTTACAGTCAGCGAGCTGACAACTATCTGACTGTGTCTTTTAGGCCTTGCCACACCACCTTTGCTATTGCATCCGCTCGCCCGTATTCACTGACACATGCCACACCTGGGTTTAGTATGAAGATGTACGCATATTCACCCAAGATGCGGAGATGCCTCAGTTTAGCGAGTTGAGATACAACAGCAAACTCACAGGAGCATGGATCAGAATCATCAGTTACCAACCTGACACCGTTTCGGAGCTTTAATCGCAATACGGTTTCCTGTCAGGCGCCCCCGCAGTCCACCCTTGAACCACCATCTGATCCGAGAGTCACTTGAGGAGACCCGTTAGAGCTCGCAATTGGCGACGAGATAACGTTTATGGTACCTCTAGATGTTATAGTGAACTCTCAAGCTCCAACCTTCCTGAACTCCCACTCCCTCTTTCTCGATAACAAGTAGATCCATCTGGAACAGTGGGCTGCCTCTTTCCCACTGTCCCATACCAGCTTCTTCAGCTCTCTTCCCCTAAAACCAATCCTCCTCGCAGCTCTCTCCAAACTCTGCGCAACCACTCCCCTAGCTCCAACTTCGACCGCGGCATTATAACAGCACCAACCTTTCGCCTGAATCTCAGCCTGCAGACCGCTGTATCGGTCGAGCTTGTACTCGTGCGATTCAGCGATCCGCTCTTCAGATGGTACTGTTAGCTCCCACCAAATAACTGTCTTTGCCGACCTTAAGAATATTACAAGGTCCGGCCTCAGCCGTGTTTCCACAATCTCACTGGGAAACTTAAGCTGCCCCTCAAGGTCTGACAGCACTATCCAATCCCGATACCCACTCAGGATTCCAAAACCACGACTCTCCTTCCGGTCGTCTGTACCTGCTTTTCTTTTCCCAGCAGGAACAAAATCAATGAACTGCCTTCCATCGCCGGCCTTGTTCTTATAAGTGTTCACTCGGCGATCACAATGGAAGACAACCTGTTCAGAGATCTGCTTCAGAACCTTGTCGTGCCGCCATCTATACCTTCCTTGACTAAGGGCCACCTTACACCCAGCCAAAATGTGCTGAATGGTGCCCATCCTTTCCTCACATAACTTGCACTTCCCATCCTCATCTTCACTCCACTTGGAAACCATAGAGGGGGTTAAGAGGGTGCCGTACACAGCACTTAGCATGAACCCAATAAGTGAGTCACCATACTTAAAAAGTGTATGCCAGCTCAAATCCGTCTTCATTACGAGCTCTCTCCACTCACCCCACCTGCTCTGCATCTCCAGAGAACCTACTTGCACCTCCCTCTCTCTTTCAATGTTCTCCTTCACTCTCAGCATAACCTCCCTCTCTCTTTCCCGTTCATCCATCCTCTCCCAAGGTTTTTTCCAGTCACCAAAACCGATGCCAACTCTTTTTTGAGGTTGCACCATCCCTCGCACCGATTCACAGACCAAATCTCTTCTGGCCTCTTCCAGTTCTGTCTCAGGCCTCCAAACTCTACCAGAACGAACTTGGGGCTGGACTGCTTTAATCAGGTCATCCTTAGATGTCTGATAGGATTGCAACAGTCGACACTTCTCTATCTTCCATGTATCTGTCAAACTGCTCACCGGTAAGGCCACACTGGATGATTGACTGAACAGACAAAGACCACTCAGAGTGTGCCCCACCCCTAACCACTTCCTGAGGAAACTATTGGTATTCTGTTCCCATCTGGTAACTGTTGTGATCGGAATATCATAGATGGCAAGAGGCCACTTCAGTTTTGGAAGGACCATGTACTGATATCCCCAGCACTTCTGGAGTCCAGTAAGGGAACTTTCATCGAGTCTCCGAAGAAAAGTGTTAAGGTCGACCTTGGTTGAGTCGATGACTGATTTGTCATTTCCTTCCACTCTTATCCATCTCCCAAGGAATTTTATCGGCTTCTCTGACACATTCGGAATCACCTCACCACCCAACTGCAAACACACCTCTTCTCTCTCCACCTCCTCCTCTCCTACCACTACCTCCTCAACCCACCTCACAGCCACTCCCTTCTTCAACACCAGTGCTCTGGACTTGGAGGACTTTAACTTAAATCTGGACCAGTCCACGTACTTCTGAAACACATTGAGTAACGTTTGCATATCCTCTGCACGTGCGGTCGTCAGACAGCTATCGTCCATAAACAGCTTCAGAGTTGGTATCGGTGTGTCATCCTTGATGTACTCAATGCTTCTCGGAACCTTAGACTTTAGGTGTTCATGCCCAAGGTTCATGCACAAGACAAACAAGATGACTGATATCACACACCCCATGAAGATACCATTTTCTTAGTTCTATTCGAGGAGGCCGAGGGTGACAAAGGCGGGACTTTTTCCACTTGGATGGCAATAGCTTCTTCAATCTTCATCACAAGAAGATTCGTAAATCGAGATAATATATGTATAATAATTATATTTGCGAGCAAAAGTTTCACACAAACCTGTTCAACCTGGCATATGAAACACAAGTCTCAGTCCATTTCAAACAAATCAACATCTGGTCTACTTGATTGGGAACTAAATGAAGAAAGTCTCCACATTTTCTTAGTTCTATTCGAGGAGGCCGAGGGTGACAAAGGCGGGACTTTTTCCACTTGGATGGCAATAGCTTCTTCAATCTTCATCACAAGAAGATTCGTCAATTTCAGAAACAGCACTGTACACCTGCAAATACTTTATTACTTCCCACATTTATATCAACAGTATCATATCACATAAGTTTGAGATCGTACAAGTGTTATATCATTTTAAAAGTTTGCAAATCCGATAGAAATGGATTAAAAATTACTACTCGCTGTCTATTTAACTTTGAATAATAATGTTTTTAAATGTTAGTAAAACAGGAGGAAACCACTCACCCTGTTATAGTTGTCTTTTACATAGTTAAGACACTGAATACACAAAAAAGAGGTTTGCTTTGGTGAGCACAACCCAGGATTGATCTTCTGCAGCAGGGCGAGGAATTCTCTAGACTGTTTTGTCATTCGTTCACTTTCAGAGCGGAAGAAAACTGTTTCATTAAAATCCTTTATTTCGGGTACAGATACAGCACTCTGAAAATTGATGAATGATCACATTTTTGTATACCTTACGGCAAAGTCTTATGTCTGTGGTAAAAGAATGATATTCTTTCAATAGTATTTTATTAAAGCCTAAACTTAACTTCTACCAATTCAAAATTGTTTACGTCGGTCTCCCCTCCTTGGGCCACTTTTCACATAGCTATTGAGCTGAGTATAAATCACTCTAGCACAAGCGACTTCAAACCCCCTCCCCTAGGCTGGATTAGGTTATATGTGAACTGTGCTCTAGTGCATGACTGACTTTACATAATGCAGAGCATGCAAAGTTTTGATGTTTCATAAACTTATGAATAAAGTTTTAAAAATCGTGACCGGTGCCCCGGCCAAAATCACAACCCCCAGCCCTTCCCGGCCCCGGCCAAAAATTGGCAATTCGCCGGGGGTAAACACCAGCCCCGGCCAATAAATTTAACCCCGGCCAATTCTCAGTGGTCAGCCCCAGCCCCGGCTATATTGGGGCTCCCCGGCCCCGGTCAGAATCCTGCCCCCGGTCGACCACTGATAAAAAGTTAACTCACTGGATTTGTCCAAAAGCGAGAGAAAGTACTGAGAAAGCACTTATACGTCACCACCAGAGGGCCTAGAGAGGTTATCTTTGTCTGTTTAATTGAATATTGAGTATATAATATGAGATTTAAGATGAACATGATAGATATAATGTCCAAATTCTAAAGTTCCACCAAAATTGAGTCACATTAAACTTGGTTAACACAACAATTTTCTTCATTATAGTAGGTGATTTGACATAGTGAAGTGTAAACTAAATTATTATTTATAATAATTACCTGTCGGAGGGATTTAAGTGTTCCTTTGAACAGTCCTTTTCTGGAAGGTTGAGAGCTTTCAATACATCCAGAGAGCCAAATTGGATTCGTCCTTCTTTCGGGCATTATATGCAGTCTTTGATATGATGCCTTGTACATTTTGAAACCCTGCAGTTATCATTATTCAATACTTATAGAGCCTTAGATAAGGGGTTAGGGGTCGTTCACATAATATTGTGTAATTGCAATATAGTAAGGTTACTGTACATTTCCAACCCTTTGTCATGTATATCACAACAGATGATGTTAAAAGCATAATAATATTATGATACAGTTTTACAGTTTTTGTTACGTGTTGATAATCTAGCTCTTATCTCTATTTTATCGCTACATTACAACTGCCGGTTGGATCACTGAACTCGCGGAAGCTACGAACCGTGACAATAAATCTGAGCTTTCAGTTGAAACGTTCAAAAAGCCAGTGAAGTCAGTTTCAGTAAAAAATTTGTAATTTGTATTCTGCGTATCAGACTACCGATAATCATGTAAGTACGTTTCTGGATAACAAGAAAGATATGGAGGAGTTGAAGAGCGATCTTATCCGATCGCAAAGTACTGTTATCAAGCTGCAGGCTGAACTTCTGGAAACTAAATCGAAGCAGTTGGAATCCGTGCACTCCAACGTCAAGACCGCCGTTCAAGACACTGTCCAAGCTGAGATGAACTCATACAGTCAAGCTGTGACTAAAAATGCACCTGTGCTTGCAGAAGAGAGTTTAAAAAAGGTTGTACAGAATGCTGTATCGGAAGAGGATCGCAGTAGGA